TTACTGTTAATGTTTATTGCTTATTTTTTGTTATGAGTTTTATTTTATTGTTTTGTATTATTTGTTGTTATTGCTTTTATTATTGATGTATTGTCAGCTCAGCCTCATGTAAGCCGCACCGTGTCTCTTGGGAGATGGTAGCGGGGTATACCGTATATACTCGAATATAAGCCGACTCGAATATAAGCCGAGGCACCTAATTTTACCACAAAAAACAGGGAAATCTTATTGACTCGAGTATAAGCCGAGGGTGAAAAATGCAGCCGCTACTGGTCAGTTTGACAGATGACCACCCAGTCTTTCTGTCATTCCCCCCCCCTCGCAGAGCACGAGCTTTCCTCGGCGGCGGCAAAGGAGAAGGAAGCCCCTGCGGCAGGCTTTTCCRTAGGCTTGCTCTCCTTCTTCCTGGTCCCATGCGCGACCAYGGTGGAGGGGGCAGCGGCGGGAGGACACAGGAAAGCCGTGCACGGGGCGAGGGGGGAGGGGCAAGTGCACGCCACTCCCCTTCCTCTCTTGCCGCATGCGCACCTTTTTCGGTGGCGGAGGCAGGAAAGACACGCAAGGGAGAAGGAAAAGGTGCGCGCCTTTCTCTCCTCCCATGCCCTGTGCCTGCCTTTACCGCCGCTGCCAAGGAAGACGCAGCGGCCTTTCTCTCTTCCCATGCCCTGCGAGCGCCTTTACCGCTGCTGCGTCTTCCTCGGCAGCAGCGGTAAAGGCGCGCACAGGGCATGGGAGGAGAGAAAGGTGCGCACCTTTCCCTTCTCCCTCGCGTGTCTTTCCTGCCTCCGCCGCCAAAAAAGGTGCGGCAAGAGAGGAAGGGGAGTGGCGTGCACTTGCCCCCCCCTCGCCCGATGCACGGCTTTCCTGCGTCCTCCCGCCGCTGCCCCCTCCACCGTGGCCACGCATGGGACAAGGAGGAAGGTGCGTGCGCGGCAAGAGAGGAAGGGGAGCAGTGAGCACTTTCCCCTCCCCCCTTGCACGGCTTTTCTGCTTCCTCCCGCCGCTGCCCCCCGCCACCGCGGCCATGCATGGGACCAGGAAGGAGAGCAAACCTGCGGAAAAGCCTGCCGCAGGGGCTTCCTTCTTCTCTGCCGCCGCCTAGGCTGCCGAGGAAGGCTTGCCTTTCCCTCCTCCTCCGTCGTTCCCTGACCTGAATATAAGCCGAGGGGAGGTTTTTCAGCCTGAAAAAAAGGCTGAAAACTCGGCTTATATTTGAGTATATACGGTAAATAAAGTATTATTAACTGGGGCAGGATATGGCTATATAAGGCCCTAGGCATTCTATATGGAAACTACCCTATTCTGTAGTAACACATGATATAAAAGAAAAACATCAAAATGATAGGGATTTTTTTTTAAAAAAAGGGTTCTCACTATGAAAAAGAAGAAATGTCTGAGCAGTTTTCAAAAGTTCCGAAAGAAGAACTGTACTAGATCATGAATGATAAAAGATATATTGCAGCATTCCAATTGCTTTCATTTGACAATGGTGTCTGTCTAGAGGTGATGGGAAGTACAGTTCAATGGTGTCCGATGGATGACACACCCGCCACCCCCATACTAGGTAAGTGTAACAAAGTTTAAGTTCATAGAACTGACTGAACTGCTCATTACTGTCCTAGTAAAAACACAGAAGCAACCCAAAAATCAGGTTGAGACTTAAGACTTTAAAAAATGCACAGTGCATCCACAATAGTGTGGACTCTAATCTTACATTAAAAGGATAAATCACAGCTGGAGTGGAAATAAGGAAGAGAAAACTAAAAGCAGGGGGCAGAAAGCCTTTTAAGTTTCATGGTGTTTTTTTTAATTAAAAAAGCTATTCTCTAAACCCCACTTTTTCACAGAAGTTTAAAAGAAAGAGTACAGCCAATATTGTTTAGTACAAAAGCTGCTGCCAGAGTGCTGGCAATAACAGGTATATGTTTTTAAAGTATCATTTAAAAGATAAATAGTAAATTTGACTTTTTTTATTTGCATAGTAAACTTTTCTACCATTGTTTTAATCAGAGGTATGTGGCAAGTTCTAACTGTATGACCAACATAAAATCTTACGAAAACACCTCCAAACACAAAACAAAAACCATGACAACTATAAACATCTGGATGTTAAGTCAGTATATATCCAGTGTCAACCCAGGAAAAATAAGGACTCTTTCACAAACCTGCATTTAAGATTTAACAGCTAACAATTAGTGGTGTGTAACTGTTGAACTACAACAAATATTTTGGTAAAATCAATGAAAAGAAATAAAAAGCTTCCTTTCTACTTACAGCTCAAAATAAACATTGACATAAAATCAGGCATGCTGTTTAATTTCAATGCAACCAATAGATTTCTCTGAAACTGTCAACTATCACCCATATAATTTAAGACTACAGAAATACGCAATACAATCAGAACACTGCTCGTCCCATTAGAAGTATACACCCACACTGTATATTTCCCCTGAAATGGCCGGAAATTCATCATGAACACACAGGGTTGCCAGACGAAAGATCAGGGGAACTTTTCATTCATTCAAAAGCTAAGGCAACGAGCAATAGCACATGGCAGGAACTGGAGGAGTCAAGCTACTGCACCATCACTTTTATACGATGAATGGGAGGAAGGACGAGAACAATAACCTCTCAAAGCAGGCATGATCCTAATTTCTCAACAGTTCAAAAATATGCAGGCTGTAGACCTGTTTGTTGTAATTCTCAAACTGGTCATTACAAGCAAAAGTGCTTATACCATCAAGCAAACAAAAAACATATAGGGACAGCTCTACGAATAAAACCCAGAGATAGAATTCAAGAAAGTTAAGAATACTGACCAGCTTATACATTCCTGCAAAATGGAGCAATCGACTACTATTCAAAGTGGTGATCTATTAGTTGCAACCCCCCACTCCACACCCAGGAATGTCAGAAGCCAGACAACTTCCCCACCCATACACCAAACCATTCAACTATATCTCCCCATATTTGAAACTGGAGAAGCAAGGCAAAATCTTGTGGAGTTTTTTAATGTTGATGTCAGAACAGACTTGCTTTACAGTGAGTCCTTGGTATGTGTTAGAGTTTGGTTCCAGGACCCCTGCATCTACAAAATCCAGTGGCAAAATGAAGTTTGTTTTGGTGAACATTTTCAAAGCATGGATGGGCGAATCTGTGGATATGGAGGGTCAACTGTACTATGGATATTCACAGGCTGCTTCTATGTCTGTTCCTAGATATGTTGCTTCATGTGTCTGATAAAGTAGAATTACTCTAAGTAAGTTTGTGCTACCAACTCTTTTCTCTTAGTAAGTGTCCAAGGTGGCACAAGATAATGATATTCCAAGATAGGTCTTTGGAATCAAAGCGTAGTAAGGCCCAGGGTGCAACTACACTGCAGAATTAATGCAGGTAAACACCACTTTCACCACCACGGCTCAGTGCTATGAAATCATGGGAAAAGGGTGCTGGTGCCTCAGCAAACCATAACTTTCTATAGCATTGAGTGGTGGAAATTAAAGGGGTGTCAAACTGCATCAGTTCCACAATGTAGCTGCACTCTTAAGAAAGCATGTGCTAGTGTCTAAATTGCTACAGGACACTGATATTTCAGACTAACAGAGCTCTGTCTTTGGAATTAAAGCATATTAATAATCAAACCCGCCCCATGGTAAATGCAACTTTATCAGTTAATAGTGGCATACCCACAATAAGGAGTTACTTATCTAAAGAACAGAAGAGCAAGGGGGAGGGGGTGCACCTCCTTATATGCCTTCCAGGGTGCCCCTTCCCCATTTAGGCAAGTTGCTTTGCAAGAGAGGTGGACCAGATGGGTCAAAAGTGTACTAGGAGAACTGGGGCCCCTTCCACACAGCTGAATTAAATCCCACATTATCTGCTTTGAACTGGGGCCCCTTCCACACACATATTACCCAGAACATTAAGGTAGAAAATCCTACAATATCTGCATTGAACTGGGTTACCTGAGTCCACACTCAGATAATGTGGGATTTTCTGCCTTGATATTCTGGGATATAAGGCTGTGTCCCCAGTTATCTGAGTTCACACTGCCATATATTCCAGTTCAAAGCAGAAAATGTGGGAATTTAATCTGCAGTGTGGAAGGGGCCTAAAATATATGGCAGTGTGGACTCAGATAACCCAGAGCCCTTCCACACAGACATATAACCCAGAATATCAAAGCAGACAATCCATAATATCTGCTTTGAACTAGGTTATTTTAGAGCCCATGCTGCCATATAATCCAGTTCAATGTGGATTTAATACAAATGTGTGGAAGGGGGCCTCATTTCAAAGCAGATATTGTGGGATTTTCTGCCTTTATATTCTGGGTTATATGGCTTTGTGGAAGGGCCGTGGGGGGGCCCTGGGGGAGCTCTGTGGGGCTCTTCTACGCAGCCATATAACCCTGGATATCAAGGCAGAAAATCCCACAATATCTGCTTTGAACTGAGTTATTGGAGTCCATACTGCCTTATATTCCAGTTTAAAGCAGAAAATGTGGGGTTTTATTCAGCTGTGTGGAAGAGGGCAGGGTCACAGGTTCCTGCCACGACCCTCCTTTCCAAATATCCCCTCCCACTCTTAGGCGAGTGGATTTACAAGAGAGAGGTGAACATGGGGGGCAACCCTGTAATGGGAAAAGAGGGAGTCCCGTGTCACATGTTCCTGCCATTACCCCCTCCCCACCTCCAAGTGGCTTTGCAAGAGGGATGCCAACAGGGGGTCGAAATCTGTTGTAGGGAAAAGGTGTGGTAATTCTTGGGGGGGGGGGGGGTCACAAGTTCCTCCCATGACCCCTTCCCCCTTTTAGGGGGTGGGTTAGCAAGAGGGAGGCGGGCCAAACTTGCAATGGGAAAAGGGGGGGTCTAGTGTCACATGTTCCTGCCATGCTCTCCCCCCCTCCCCCGTCCCAAGGTGCCCCTTCCCCTTCAGGGGTGTGCAAAAGGCAGGGCCAACCCCTTGTCCAGCTGGGCCCAATCCCTTGCTGCCCTCACCTTCCGAGGAGCTGGTCGTGCTCGGCGCGGACCTTGCCCAGCTCGATCTGGAGCTTGGCCCTCTCGCGGGCCGTGTCGTCCAAGGCGCGGCGGGCGTCGGCCAACTCGGCCTCGTAGAGGGACTTGAGGCCGGTGAGCTCCCGCCCGCGCACCTCCTCGCGCTCGGTGACCTGGAGGTGGAGCGCGCTGTTCTCCAGCTCCAGGCTCCGCACCTTGTCAATGTAGACGGCCAGGCGGTCGTTGAGCTCGCGCAGCTCCTCTTTCTCCTGGAGGCGGGAGATGCGCGTGGGGCTCAAGGGGGTGCTGGCCGCGCTGCTCCGGGTCCGCTGCCCCACCGGCGTCGAGGCCATCGCCATCGCCGCCATGGCGGGAAAAGCAAGGCAGGCAGGCGAGAGAAGGAGGAAAAGACAAAGCCCGGGCCGGAAGGGGTTAAGAGCGGCAGCCCACAAAGCCTTCCCGTTACAAAAACCCCCGGTTTGAAAGAAAAACAATAAAGCACAGGAGCTAGAAATGGAAAAAGAAGACGAGGAGAACGCTAATCAATGCTGAGAGGAGCTAATTGGAGTAGGCTCAATGAATGGGCACAAAAACTCCACAGAGAAGGCGGGAAACGAAGGGGAATAGGAGGGAGGAGCCAAAACCAATGGGAGAAAATACAAGAAAGCCCTTCTCGGCTCAGGCACAGCCAGAAGGAAAAGGAACACAAATGGAGGGGGCACGAAATCAACGCCAAAGGGAAACAAAAGGCGGGTTGGTGATCTATGAATGGACACGCAGAGAAGGCGGGAAAAGAAAGGGGAAGAATAAGAGGGAGGAGCAAAAAGGACCCAGACGGGGTTACAAAAGAAGCCCGAGAAAGAAAGAAGGAAAGGGGGAGCAAAGAGAGAAGCCGAGCTCGCAGGTGGAAGGCGCGGGTTTACTCCCCCGAGCCTGGCGGCGACGACGACAACAGCAGCAGCGGCGGCCGCCTCCCGCTCCTCCTCCTCCTCCTCCTCCTGAAGGGCCTTCTGCAAGGGACACAAAACAGGCGGGCTCCGCGAGGAACCAATATGGCCGCCGCCACCGCGCGCTCCAAGCCAGCAAGCCGTCCCCCTTCTCGTTGGCCTTACGTTCGCCCACGCTCACGTGACCGCGCTTCAGCCAATGGGAGGGCGAAGCGCCTTCGGCCTCGCTCTCAAGGGAGGTCTCGACGCTAAATTCAAAACCCGCCGTTTGCAACTGTCAGCGAAGGGTTGTGGCGCGCGCGCGCTCGCTCTCTCCCTTTCTCTTCCCCCCTCCCCTCCCACCTAAGCGACCCGGCCTTTTCCTCAGCCCGCGTGAGCGCGCACGAGCACGAGCTTTAACCGTCGTCTTCCCCCCCCCCCCGCCCCCTTCCTCTTGGCTCCTTTCTCCTCAGATGTTTGAAGGCGGGAGGAGGACGAGGAAGGGGTTGCTTCTTGGCCTTTCTGAGGCGGTGGAAAGAACAGCTGCCCTCTTGCTTTTCTTTCTTTCACTTGTCTTTTTTTTGTTTTTGTTTGAATGGCTAAGCTACTCCAGGCTACCCTATTTATTCTACACTGGAATTATGGCATTTTGACACCAGTTTAACTGCTGTAACTCAGGGCCCTTCCACATAACCATATATATAACCCAGAATATCAAGGAAGATTATCCACATTATTTGCTTTGAACCTTAGTGCTATCAAATCCTGGGAGTTTATTTATTTATTTCAAATATTTGTGCCCCACCCTTCTCTACCCTGGAAGGGGGACTCAGGGCGGCTTACAGCCGGCAACAATTCAATGCCCCACATATACAACAAACAACAGTTACATAATAAGCTAAAACATTAAAATTCTATTTAAAACCATTTAAGATAGTAGAAATTGAATTAGTTGGCATGTCAAGTCCGCTTTCTACAATCAACAACTTAATCAGATGCCTGTCCATAGTCCTTTTTCCATAGCATTATCATCATTTGTATTGTCAGCCTGCTATCCGAATGGCTGGTCCCATAGCCAAGTCTTCAACTTCTTCCTGAAGGAAAGGAGGGAAGTAGTTGACCTAATTTCACTGGGGAGCAAGTTCCACAGGCGCGGGGGGGGGGGGGGGGGGGGGGGGGGACTGCTGAGAATGCCTTGTCCCCACCAAGCGCATTTGCGACGAAGGTGGGATCGAGAGCAGGGACGTCCCGGAAGATCCTAAGTTTCGAGGTGGGAGGTAGGGAGAGATACATTTGGACAAGTAAGCTAGGCTACAACCATACTGGAGTTTTCAAAAGTCTTTAGCCTTCTGTGTCAAAAAGTGCTGGTCCCTCACCAAACTACAAATTCCAGAATCAATCACAATCAACTGAGCCACAGCAGATAAACTCATTGTACCGGATGTTAGGAACTGTAGGTGTTCCAGACCTGGCAGGCATGTAGTCGGGGGGGGGGGGGGCTGGGGGCTTCAGTCCCGCCCCCCGAAATTCTGATGGTGGTCCGCAAGAAGGCCTTACTGGTACATTATTTAAACTGTTATGTTTATTCATATCATCTGATCACCATGCTCAATATATCCCATATGCATGGGGGTATTGGGGTAACGATACAAAAGGTTTGCTAGGGTATGCCCTCTTTCACTCAACCCCCCCCCAACCAAACTCACCCCCCCCCCCGAAACAAAATCCTGGCTACGGGCCTGAGGCCTGGTATAGATGCACGCTAGCAAAAATGGGCTGGAGAAAAGGGACTAGTTGGTTCTTAGCCTCTGTGCTGTGATCTTGCATGAAAAAAGATATTTGAGATTAATTGGGGAGCCTTCCACACAGATCTATATCTCAGAATGTCAAGGCAGAAAATTCCACAATATCTGCTTTGAACTGGATTATCTGAGTCCACACTGCTATATATCCCGGTTCAAAGCATATAATGTGGGATTTTATTCAGTGGAAGGGACCTGAGGGAAATAAGTTGTAGCCTAAGCCCTTATAGACTGAGGGACCTGTCACGACACTCGTGATATTATGCCACTTTGGGCCCTTCCACACAGCCCTATATCCCAGAATATCGAGGCAGAAAATCCCACAATATCTGTTTTGAACTGGGTTATCTGAGGCTCCTTCCACACAACTGAATAAAATCCCACACTTTTTGCTTTGAACTGGAATATATGTAGTGTGAACTCAGATAAGCAGATATTGTGAGATTTTCTGCCCTGATGTTCTGGGTTATATGGCTGTGTGGAAGGGCCCTGAGTTCACTCACACTCAGATAATGTCGGTTTTTCTCCCAAGATATTCTGGGATATAGAGCTGTATGGAAGGGCCCTTTACCTGCCATGGCAACATAAATAGTATGGAATAGTATAACCTCCTGAGTTCAATCATATTCTTAGTCAGGGAAAGTGCTAAAAGGTTTGCAATCAATGGCCACATCTACTCTGACCATTTGATGCAGTTTCAAAGATAGTGGTTTTGCTGTGCTGATTACACAGGAACCTCTGGAACCAGTTTGAGGCCTGGGTGGTGAACAGATGCTTTTGATGGGCTTTCTTTTTTGTTTTTTTGTGGAAGTTTGTTGTCTGGCTGCCGCAGTTTGAAACTGGCTTCAAAATACATTAAACGCTCAATCTAGATGGGGCAAATGGCAAATGTGCAGCCCAGCCTCTGGCGGCTTGGTCAAGGAAAGCTTCCTACCAGAACTAATTGCACCTCAACAGCAAAGGCCTTTGCTGCAGGCCATGACCCTCAGTCCTCAAACATGAACTGGACAGAAAAGTGTATCTTTTGCTTGTTTGATCCTTAGTATTTGTTCTCATTCCTGCTAAAGTAGCAAAAAATACAGTACATTCTTTATTGAAAAAGAATGCTTAAATAGTAAAAATACAGGAAATTCTTTTGTGCAAAAGTAATTGTTGGCAGCTTTACTTCATGCTAAAGCCTTGTACTAGGGAGTGCCTTTCTCTCCAGAAAGGGTTTCAAGTTCCCTGTTTATCCTATCTTCTACTGAAGGAGGGGTTAACCCTTTACTGCTTACTTCCTGCCTGCTGACTACAAGAAACCTCAAGGCAAATCCCACTTTCTCAATCTGACATTATACTTGCTGCTTACTGTCAGACACAGATAGGTGCTCCAAATTCTATCAAGTCCCCTTGCTACTATCAGAAGGTGACTTAACAGTAACCCTATAAATTAAGAGACTTTCAATGGATTAATTTATAGCAGAGACTTTCTAGACTGAATCAATCCAGCAGTAAGAGAGGGTGCATTTACATGGTATAATGAATGCAGTTTGACACCACTTTAATTGCAATGCTATGGAATCATGGGACTTGGGACTTGACGAGGCACTAACACTTTCCAGAGAAGGCTAAAGATCTTGTAAAACTCCAACTACCATGCATTATTTGTGTGCTATGTTTTGAAGAACATCTTCCGAAAGTAAACAAATGGCCAACATTTTTTTTTGGGGGGGGGGGACATCCCTTCACAATTCCGCCTAGTAATTTTACTGTCAAAGGTAATAAGAAAAAAAATGTTTTCAAGTAAAGAATTTGCTAGCTCATACATTGTTTTGCAAAATAAACTAACACAGATGTCATATTTCCACTTTCTTAAATCTGAGCACTTAATTGGAACATCACGCAAATTAATTTGCATTCTAAATCAAGCCTATTAAAATTGGGTTTTTCTCTCACACAATATACTTCACAGTTCATACAATTTCTTATAGTTAAGACTGACCAGAGAGGGCCAGTAATGCTTAAATTATTGGACTTGGATGAGGTAAACCCATATTAAAATCTCTTTGTCATGGAATTGACTATGCAACTGTCAGATATCTCTCTCAACAAATCTACTTAACAGAATTGGGGGGATTAGAAAGGAAAGAGAAACTACATAAAGTGTGTGTGTACAAAGGTGCAACACAAATAAAGGAACAACATTTTCATAATGCACATTTTCCATGCTATTCTCATAAAGACACGATTTTAGATACTTCATATTTTCTTCATACTTGTTTTGATCCATATCTCAATAAACCTGCAGATTCCCATCAAGCATCTACCTCAATAAGCTTCTATCTACCTTTTCTCCAGTTCTTTCTTTCCTCGGAGTACCATTGTCATCGAGCCCAAAAGAGCCCCCCTCCCGGCCAAAACAACTGATTTGAACCATGTTGACGTTCAGCGGAGGGTTCCACAGATCCACTTTGCCCAACTCACCTCAATGAATTTTTGCCAGCCAATCTTGGTTCGGGGGGGGGGGGGCAACAACAGCCGCCAGCCCCCTGGGAACTACATAGCCCCTATTAGCCCCTATTAACTTGATTTTGCCCCCACCTGGCCCAGGAACTGTGCTCCTTTAAAACACGGGTACCGAAACCCATCGTTTCTTTCCCGGTATCCGTAAACTATTGCTTCAAGCTCCTCTTGAGTCCCCTGAGCTTACCAGCCTAACTCACAAGCCGCAGGGGGCTCCAGTTCATCCAGAAGCCCCACAACAAACCTTATACCTTTCCCTTTTCCCATTAACTACCTAACCC